GGGCTGAGCAACCTGACCTAACATTGAACCTTGAACATTGAACCTTGACCTGCTTTTGCAGGAGTCTGAATCAGATGGCAACCTGACCTAACATTGAACCTTGAACCTGACCTGCCCTGCTTTTGCACGAGTCTGAATCAGATGACATACAGAGATCACTTCTGACCTGATTTTACTAATTTGTTGGTAGTGGGCATAACTTACATAGAATAATCATCAGAAGTCAAAAATAAACAGTCCTTACCAGCCCCTGAAAACAGGCTACAAACTGTTACAAACTCTGCTTTGCATCAGACTGGCCTCAATGCACCAGTTTTACAACCACCAATACAACAGTCTTCCTCAGGGAAGTCAGAGGGACTCAATTTCTTTTGTGTTACTCCAAAATTCATTACAAAAAAGACAAAAAACAGTAACAACCTTATTCCTAAGTTTTTGACATTGGCAGGTGTTACACACGATGTGGGAATCTTGTCTCAGCAACTGACACATGTAGCCCAACTAAAACACCAGAAGTCACCACAGCAACAATGAATATGAAGTCTAGGCAAAAAGATTTGCTTGCTCTGACACTTAATTCCTACTGCAACACATACTCCTGTCTTCAAAAGGATTTAAAAAATAAATGATGCATTTAAGCCATCCATAATTTTTGCTTGTTTTGTTTTAAAATTGGAAAGTTCAAAGTGAAATGTTCTTACTAAGTTCAGAATATGAATAAATAAAACATGTCTAAATGTGTAAATGAATTAATTTACACATTTAATGTAATAAGTAAGGACAAAATTCTGTGAGTGTTCATATGTAGGTAAGAGAAAACCCTGTGAAAGAGAAAAAATTGTCACCTTTAAAAATTAATTACTTTGATTTTTGTTACTTTATTCCAGTTTCATATTATTGATTTAATTAGAGTTCTGACATCTTCATTTTAAAAGACTGGTAACATAAAGGCATGTGGTGGGAATAAATATTCAATAACTATTAAAATAGTAGACTAATGAAAAAACAGAACACACCAATATCTTTGATCTTAGGATTCTCAGTCCCCTCCTCATGTCAGTTCTTGCTGACCTGAAATATTTTACCAATGTCCCTCACTTTCATTCCTTGTACCTCTAAAATTCACAATTCACAGTTATTTTATAACAAAAAAACAAACAACACAGAAATATTATCATTTATAATTGTCATTAATAAAATAAATATATATATAAAATCAAGACAGTCCTGGCAAAAACAGCCCCCAGACATGATAAAAAGAAGGAAGAACGTCATTTGCAGAATCTGGAAAACAAGTTTTCAGGGAGGACAGATCTTTAAAGAGACTCAGTATTTAGGTATAGTCTATGACTTGGAGCTCAGATGGAAAGAACTTGGAGTTCTTTTAATTTAAATAAACAAAGTATCTCAGTATAACTTTCTTTTCTTTATGCTTTTGCCAGATTTATGGAACAAATCTAATTTGTTAACGCCTCATCTTTCAAAAATAATACCAATTATTTGTAACTGTAACTGTGTTTTTGAGAGCTTAGTGTGAACAAGTTTTCTTACAAACTTCAGAAGGGCTTTCCTAAAAAAATATAAGGAATAACACGATTCTTAACTAAAATCCTTAAATATATTGAGAATACTTTAGAATATTTAGAAAAATATATTTAAATATATTTAGAAGATAAGAGACAGATAATCAGAATCAAAGCTATCAAGCTGTAAACCATAATAAGCAGCCTTCTTGAATTATTCCAACTGATGCAATTTAAGTCAAAATAATATGAGCAACTCACAGTAGTTTGAGATGAATCATTAATAAAGCTTTTCACTTTCTATTGCCTCACTCTCAGTATGATATGCTAGCATTACTGCTCCAGTTTGTCAATTTAGAGAACATTTTAAGCTACATTTGTTTCAAGTTGATAACCAAAAAAATGTGTCCTTTACTATACGTAGATTCTACAGGCCTTTTGTACCTATATTACCCACATTAGCAATAACACAGCTGTGATGCAAGGTTGCCTGCAAGTGAGTCAAGCCACTACTTCCCACACTGTGTCACAAATATATCCAGGTTAGAATGGAAAATTGTTCATACAAATATTTTGACTACATTTTCTACAAGAATAAGCAGCAGAAAAAAAACCAACCCAAACTAACTAGCAAAAAACAAACAAACCAGAAAATAGTGAAGTAGTTTGTGTAATACAAACATTAATTCTTAGGATAAACAAAGCACAGAAGAAGAAAGTAAAATCTGTGGCAAGGGGAATATTCTCCTGGGGGCAATCAGATCTTGGAAAAAAAAAAAAACCAAACAAACCAAAAGGGATTGCCATTAGGTTTCTAAACAGCTGAACTGTTTCTTATTTCCATGAAAAGAAAATGTTTTCAATGTTCTTCTTTTATAAATCATCACAAAACATTTGCCATATTATAACTGAAAACAAAACTAATCCATAGCACTGAGATTTTCTACTCAATTTTTGATTGCATTCATTATCACAACACTTGTATTTGAAGCATTATAAGAGTAGATTAAAGCAATGATTACTGGTTAGCAAACTGCAAAAAAAGGATGTTATTTATCTTTATTTTTGATAGAGTAATAGAACTAGTGCTGCTTCTTAAAGATCAAGTTGGATCTGCAAAGAAAAAGAAAAAGAATATATATTTAAAATGAAGAGGAAAAAAGGAAAGCACAAATACATAATAAACTAAGAGATGACTCAAGTATTAACAAAAAGTAATAAAAAAACAAAAATCAAGCACATCACATGCTTCTACTGGTTTGCAAAGGCTGGCACTTTTGACTGAAGACCAAATTAGATGAACTAATGTCTGGTGCCTCTGAAACCACCGGCAAGATGACAATGTAACTAGACTTAAAGGGGAAAAAAAAAAAACCAACAGTAGTGGCTCAACATCAAAGAAAGCACAGTTAAAATGGAAAAAAAAAAAAAAAAGACATAACTGACTCCAGTTTACATCCATCCAAGAACAAGCTAGAAAGATTTTAGAATCCTGAACGTTGCATTGCTGTTTTTAAACAATGCCCAAGGTTTTCTTCTTTTTTTTTATTGGGCATTCAAGTCTGTAACTGAATTGTCTCATGACTCATGGCAAAGAGCCTCAAAATGTTACTGAACTATTTCATTGATACTTCCCTGCTACTTTCTTTTTCCTGGCAACACACAGACAAAAAACTGTTCCCTTAGTAAAGTGACTCCAACAACAGAAATGAGTGCACTTTCAACACTTTTTCCCTGCAAGAGAATGTTGACTTAGAAGCAAATAATGAAGAACATTTCTCTATGAAAGACTGTGGCCTTTCAAGTAACAGTGCAATTCTCACTGTCCCACAGTGGAAGGGAAAATTGAGTCACTAACTATCAAGTGAAATAAATGTCAGGCACAGTTCAAGACCCCAAGGAACCAAGCAAGCACATGATTATGAAGACATTTTGAAATACGTATTTTTTGCCTAAGAAAAGGTAGAAATTAAGGAAGAGGATGAGAAACAAGAACATACTTCAGGTATTGCCTATTTTACTATAAAAACACAGGCAAAATTATCCTTCAGTATTATTAGTAATAACACAAACATGAGGATAATTGAATTCATAGCATGTAATGAGCCCTTTAACACTTCTCTTTCTAAGCAAAATCCAATATGATTTTTTTTTTCTGTAGTCACCATTAAACCCAGAAATGTTTAAAGTCAAATAAATGAGTTAACCTGCAACTCTATGTTCTAAAGCCAGATAAGCACAGAAATCCCATTTTGGTTAAAGAAGAATATACCTTTTTTTTTTTTTAAGTATATTAAACTTATTCTATTAAGGTTTCAGACTCACTGGCTCTTCATTTTCACTGTCGATTACCCTCCAGCTTTATGTGGAACATTTAAGAAGAAAATACAGAGGGGAGGTGGAGGAGAGAAACAAGAAAATAAAATTATAAAGAACTACGTATATTTTTATTTGCAAGTAACAATTTGAGAAAGACTAAGTGTTCATCTGTCTGTTTTCCTGCAGTGTGAAGCATGAGACAATGCAATAGGCTGAAGAATAACTGCAGAATCATAGATTAAGCCAACAGATGAGTGAGCCAATGAACTAGAAAGAATCCAAACTTGTAGCAAATTGGGAAGCAAGTCTGATAAACAAACAAACAAATATTATGCAGAAATTGTGCTTCCTCCAGTGTGGGATTTTCTCCACCACTAAAAAAAAGTACTAACTTCAGCAGTGTGGGCAAAAGCTGAGCAAAGAGAATGACATGTTAGAAAATCCACCCGGTTTAGAGTGGCATTCGATCCACACAGTGAATGAAGAGGTCTTATATACCAAGTGCTTGCCTTTGCAAACTCTAAAATATGAGTTTTATTTCATTATTATATGGTGGAGACAAACAAAACAGAGCCAAAATCAGTGTATTACACATTAAGACAAGATTAACAGGCCTTTGCAAACTCTAAAATATGAGTTTCATTTCATTATTATATGGTGGAGAAAAACAAAACAGTGTCAAAATCAGTGTATTATACATTAAGACAAGATTAACAAGGACAAAATTTAAGAATATCTGCACAGATGTTAATTCATGAGTGTCCCTGGCTTCATGAAAACTAAACAGGATAATAAGATTTTCATTAAGTTTACCCCTTCATGGAACTACATAAGGAATGCTTTTCTAAAGCAGTGAAGTGAGCTTACCTTACAGACAAAAGACTTATCAGACATGGTTTTCTATGTCTTTGCAACAAAAGAGGAAACAGTAGCAGTGCTATTTTAAGAGTTAAAAATGGAACCTTAACATACATAAAATTCTCAAGGGATTTTTTGAATATCTCCTAGATTCAGACATGTCAGTATTTGGAAAATTAAAACATCAATCCACTTTTACAACAGTTGAGACAAACACTTGCCAGCTTTCCTCCAAGTAATACACTGAAAGCTCTTTTTGACCCTGTGTTACCCCGATTACTTGCAAGATCAACAACGTACCATTCTGCCACGGGTTTGGCAATGCTGTCAAAAACCACATCTTGTTTTGCCTCTTGATCAAAAATTTTCTGAAATCTGAAAATATTAAGCAAATAATAATTGCTTAGAATCTTAAAACACTACTTGATTCATACATTTCTGTTTGTGTTTGCAGTAGTCAATGTTTACATCATTAGGCTTACATAACTTAGTACAATGTTTTCCCTGTAGTCTTAACCACAGCGTGCTGTTGTGCTATTGTACATAAATAGGCTGTACACAGTGCTGCTTTGACAAGATCTGTACAATAAAATCCTCTGATAAAATAATGTGGCTCAGAAAAAAAATAAACCGTATTTTAAATGTATCAAGAGAATCAGTGTTTGTAACTGGCACCACACTGAAACCTGGATAAATAGATTACACTATAACCAAATACAGCATCCCACCAGTACAGCCAGGCTCACATTTTTTCATAACTACTCCCTTTATCCTGCTGTAGAGTTACAGTAAGCCACAAGGAGATACTTAATTCAATCTAAGTTTTGCCATTTCCTATCTAAAATACCTGCAGTTGTCTTACAGAATCATAGAATACTTGAGGTTGGAAGGGACCATCTGCTCCAATCCCCACGCTCAAAGAGGAGTCAGCTAGAACAGGGGTCCATCCAGCCAGGTTTTGAGTATCTCCACACACAGAGATTCCATAACCATTCTGGGCAACCTGTTCCAGTATTTGATCACCCCACAGTAAAAATTGTTATTATTTCCTGTATTTCAGTTTATGCCCATTAGCTCTTGTCCTGCCATTGGGCAGCATTGAGAAGCATCTGGCTCCATCTCTCTTCCCCACCACCCCATTAGGTTTCCATACACATCAATAAGATCCCCTTGAGCATTCTCTTCTCCAGGATAACCAGTCCAAGGAGTCTCAGCCTCTCTTCACATGTCAGATGCTCCAGTCACTTAATCACAGTTGTGTCTCTTTGCTGGAACCCAGGACTGGACACAGAACTCCAGATGTGATCTCACTGGTGGTAACTACAGGGGAAGGATCAACTCCTTGACCTGCTGACAATGCTCTTCCTATTGCAGCCCAGAGGCTGTCTGGCCACCTCTGCTGCAAATGGTGTATTGCTCATGCTGAACTTCTTGCCCACAAGGACTCCAGGTCCTTTTCTGCAAACCTGCTTTCAGTCAGCCCTGAGCCTCTCCTGGTCATTCCTCACCAGGAGCAAGACTTGGCATTTCACTTTGTTTATTCATGAGATTCCTATTGGTCCTTTTCTCCACCCTCTTGAGATCCCTCTGAATGGCAGCACATCTATCTGGTGCATCAGCCACCTTTCCCAGTTTCATATTGTCTGTGAACTTGCTGAAGCTTCACCCAGTCTCATCACTTGAGCAATTAATGGTAAAGAGTACTGGATCCCAGTGCTGACTACACTAGTGACTGGCCTCCTGCTGGACTTTGTACCCCTGATGACAATCCTGTGAGATCAACAGCTCAGCTTATTTTCAATACCCCTCACTGTACACTTACAGAAGAGCAGTAAAATTATCGCTGGAATCCCAGCTATCCCTAATGTGGGTTGTTAGAGAGAGAGTCTAGAGAGTTATCTAGTCTTTCCTGATCCCACTCCTCAGACAATCTTCTTGGGTCACCTGACACTGCTCCCACATCTTGCACACTTTCCTTCTATGTTTGCATTTAGTCAGGATCCACTTCCTCATCCACGCAGGCCTCCTGCTGCCTTTGTGTCTGTTCCCATTCACGTGGATGGGCCGTTCTTGAACTTGGAGGAGTTGATTCTTGAAAATCAGCCAGCTTTCCTGAAGTGCTCCCCAGGGCTGTGTCCTATGGAATTCTATCAAGCAGGTCCCTGAAGAGGCCAGTCTCATCTGATGAAGAACAAGATCGTGCCCATGCTTTTTGCTTTGCTGCCTTCTCTCAGTATTCTGAGCTTCACTATCTCATGGCAACTGCAGCTGAGGTTACACCCAGGTTTAATATCCCTGATCCATTCTTTCATGTTTGCAAATGAGGTTAAGCAGGGCTTCTCCCCTGCCCAGCTTTTTAACTCTATGTTAGGAAGTTGTCATCCATACACTCCAGAAACCTCCCGGACTTCTCGTGCCCTGGGATGTTGAGCCTCCTATCTGGAACTGTAAACTCACACAGAACTTCACAGGGTGTGTAGAAAGGCACCATGGACACTGGGTATATAGAAAGACATCAGGGACTGCAAAGGATTATGCAGCATGTACACTATGAAAGTCAAATGCAATACACAAAAATACAGATGTATATATTCTATCCTACTAATGCTTTATCAGTCAAGAAATTCAAATAGTTGTGTTTGATTCCCATAAAAGAAAGGCAAAACAAAGGAGAATAAAGTTTGAGGTGTCCAGGATAGACTGCATGAAAGCACAAGTTTTATGGAGGAAAAATAAATGCTGCCTCCATTGCACCATTTTTGTATTCTTTAGTAAGGCACAGTTTTTCCTAAAAATCCATTTCCACCAACTTTTTAATAAATTATAAAGTCAGAAAAAAAATACCAGCATTCATTATAGCTGGCTTGGGCACCTGCAGCCTAAGCTAGTTTTGCATATTGATCTAGTTGGAGAAGGCAGCTCCTTTCTTTCTAAGCAGAACAGATTTTCTTAGCTGATGCAAAATGACATCAGTCTGAGCTGCAGATGTTTATCCGGGGCTCTCCTTTTTTACCAGCATAGAGCAACAAATTTACTTGATTTGGTTTTATATAAAAATAAGAATATTTAACTCAGAAAAAGACAAACCCAAACTCATCATTAAAAGGTAGTGATATATTTAGCTGCCTTCGTCAAAATTTTAGTGTTGCCTCCAAGTGTTCTGTTGAAAAGAAAAAAAATATTTGACTAATATCGCTGGTACTTATTTTTAGTTTCTAAAACATATTTACATTCTACAATCATGCTTTTGTTTCTTTCAACAATCTCTGGCTTTCTTTACCGTGTTTTGGTTATGTCTGAAACACAGTTTCTAAACAGACTCTTTTACATCAATACATCTTCAGTCAGGCCAAGCTAACTCATTAGATCCCAAGAGAACACACAGTCCTGCATTTAATTTTCATATGCAAATCCAAAACAAGATGCAAAAAGGGAAGAACTGATAAATGAAGACACAATTTGTGAGATGAGACTTGGAAACGTCTATTTGCTTCAAGTCATTATACAAAACCCCCACAACTTTATCAAATGCTATCAAACTCATTCAGGTGAAGAGTATAATATGCTTGAGTGTTCCTCTTGTTAAGAGCGTTGTATAAACTTAATTTTAAGAATAGGCTTTTCCTGATTTTATAGGTCTGTATCACTACACGTAATGATATTAATCACTAACAGCAGAAGATACAAAGAAAAGGCTTTTACTTACTTGAACTTGTAGCTCTCTCGTTTGTTATTGACAAACCCATCTGCTAAATCACGTGGCACAACAATCTCCAGATTGGACAGAGTCTCCTCATCGTCAATTGAATAAATCTAATAAGCATGGATATCAAGTAAGAAAATAGTTTTAACAATAGAATGGCATAGCCCTTAGATAAAACACCTAAGTAAGCTTAGCACCTGTAACCATCTGAAGAAAAACTTCATACTAATTTAACTTAACACGTGAGCAGATCCTCCTTCAGCTATTGTACAACAAAACAAGCACATACCAACATTATCATGTTTGTTACCAAGTAAACACTTCAATAAGGTCTGAAACAGAAAGGTAGCCTCTTTGATGTAATTTGCTTACTGAACTGCTTTAGTATCTGAGATGTTATAAAAAAAACCCCTGAAGCACAGCCCCTCAGTGCAACCCCTTCCAAAAAACCTGGAATAATATATTAGGGGAAGACTATGACAGAATGAGTACAGCCAGTTTAAAACAAGAAGACAACAGAGACCTAAAAGCACAATTTCTGAGGAAGGATCCCATCATCTTCATTGTCCCTTGCAAGGATGGCTAAAGACTGTAGCTACTGGTTCCCCTCCAATGCTCAGAACAGGGTTGAACTGTTCTGAACCCAGCGACCAGCATCCAAAGCTTCTCCTGTGGGGCCTTTCTGTGACAACGAGGCAGGAAAGAAGTTCCTCGCCCCCTACCCGAGTAGTTACAGCCCAAGCTCATCTACTTCGCAATTTTACCAACTTCTTAAGGCTTCGGAGAAGAGCACAGGGCCGTG